TGAGCAAACTTCACACTCTACATTTTGTACCTAAATGATGAAATCTTACAAAGAAATTGATCATGGCCATAAAAATATAAAAGTACATTTTACTTTCTGATCACAACTGCATCAAACTAAATGAATTTTATCGACCAAATTTTGTGAAAAGAGAAGATTAAGAAATTCTGAAAAATGAGGATTCATGTCAGACAGAGAATTGTTAAGAGTTCCCTAGATAAATATTTTGACTAAAATATAGAACAGCAATGCTTAAATTTTGTAAGAACACACAAAAAACATTTAAGGAGTCACACACACACTTGCCCAGTGAAGAAGGTTATAAAACAGCATCAAAATAATAACCATAAACAAGTATGCAACTCTAATGTTGCATTTTTCATTCAAATTGCTCTCAGTTCAAACTTTGGTAAATTCATCATGCATAGCACCATAAAAAAAAGGATCTCAATTGTTTATGAATAAATCTTACGTTTTTTTAAATGCATTATGCTTTTATATGATCATGAACAGATGGAAGATTTGAAATCATGGAACCCTGTCAAACAACAGAACTTATTATATCATCCAAACAGGCAAGCTACATATCATCTGATCATCTGATTTTTCTTTTGCTAAGGAAAAAAAATCATCCTAAAATTACACAAATTTCAACATAATCAATAAGCAACTGTGCATAAATATATATGCACTTACATATGCATAACATTGTCAGCCATTATCGATATCTCAGCAGATTTACCCTCCACCAGATAGCAGCATGCTAGCAATTAAAAAGCACAACTGACCTGTTTTCACGGCAAGACAACCTACACCAACAAAACTATATATGAGCGTCAGTTTCATCCATGACCTAGAAAGATCTCTTCCTAAGCCACTGGTTTAATGAAGCTTTTACTTAAAACAACAACTCAGTAGAGCCACTGTAAGTTGCAGCCAAGATGGACTGTCCATCGTAAGAAATAATATAATATCACAAAACGAGACATACAGAACGAAAATTCAGAATTAGAAAAAAAAAATGTAATTAAAAATTAAGCAGAAATCGAGATTAATAAAATTTGAAAAATTTACATTGAATAAGATATATCCTACATTGAAAAATCAAATCTATTTCTTAAAGGCAATCTCTGATGTTAAATTCCAGTAGAATTTAAGCAGGGGCAGAAAAATTTCAATTTGTTCAGATTCTGGCCACTCTTTCTGAGTGTCTGGAAGGGCCAGCAGGTGCAAAAGATCTTGGCCCTGACTAAAAAGATAGCTCATTAGTTTTCAAAATTTTAAAACTTTAATCTTATTGCCCTGGAAACAGATCTATGCATGCATCCATAGCACATCACCGCTGCAAGCTGAAACTACAACCACATATAAATAAATCCAAAGCACAATTTTGTTAGAAGGGAGCAGGGATTAGAGAAATAACACTGAGGAGATGTGATCCACAGTTGAACCTTTTCTTTTGGGGTGGCGTTTCCTCTTTCGCTACAGACTCCTTGGTGGGTACCACGTCAGCAGTATTAGCACGCGGTCTGCTAGGAGTACTGCCTCCTTTGTTGTTGTCTTGGTTACGGGATGTCCTCAAACTTGCCCTCCGTCTTATCTTTGGAGTGCTGAATGACCAGTATTTTTTTCGTGGACTAAGATCACTAAAAACAACAGAACTATGTAGATCTCTACTTGGCATCTTAAAAACATTTTCATGAATTTGTGAGAATAAATAAAATATATAAGTGTCATAATCCATATTCCTAAAGGCCATTATTTCACAAACATTCATTTCCAAAATGATATAATAGAGTACCATAACAGAATGCAAAACCATAGAATTATTTACAAAAGAAAAAAAAAAGTTTCTTCTAATCTCTTGCCTCCCTCTTTTCATGTGATAAAGCACAAATACAAATTATAATTAAAAAAAGATCATCATGCTTTTTGTCTGCCACCAAAGTTTTCCCAACATTTATAGCAAATACTGAAAATCTATCAGAGGAGAGCAACAACACAGTTACCCTGAAATGGAAACAGTGGGGTGACTTGGGGTGGGTAGGGTGTGGGTGGTAAAGGGGGGTGGGGTTGGGGCTCATATACTTTACCCTCAAAGCAATTTTGAGTGCATGTTACTGTTTTTTTTCTTCAAATATAAAAGCTTAACTTTATGAACTTCTTTTCATGCTGATAATTATGTTTTGTTTTGCAAAAGCAAAACGTTCAAGTTGATTTTAAATTCATTTCATGAATTTTTACAAAGCTTTTGTCATTTTGAACTCCCCCCCTCAAAAGCCCTTCAGTTTCACAAATATATAATTATAATGAGTAGTCTAGCTATGTTGTGAATGCTTATAAGTTTTAACTTTTAAGTTTTAACTTGAAATGTTATATCACAAATAATTATTTTAACTAACTGACTTTAAATTAAAGCTATAATAAAAGGCAATAATGAAGCACTGAAATCCCTATCTATACATGATAACTGTTACCTGGAGTCAAGAGACAGATGGACATTATCTTAACAGTTAAAATCTAAACTTAGATATAACAAAATATTTCTTATGTGTCACTAACTTGTTTCTACTCTTGCTACAAAACTTCACAGAAGCCAGTCCCAAACAAAGAGTAAACACAGAGGCAGATGCATGCAAGCAGTAGAGTAAGTCAAATTTCAGGTTTTGTTTTCATTCAAACTATTAAAAAAGCTTAAAGTTTATATAAATAAAACTCTCAAAGAACTAAACAACACTTAAATTCACACTAATGAAGCCTCTTCTAAACTACACAAATAAAGATATCTAGATACAATGATCACATAAAAAATTATGATCTATCAAATTTTTTTTTCACTAAAACCATGACATTTTTTACTTTCCCTAACTCAATATGCTTCAACAAAAATGTCTCTCGTTGAAGTGGCTTTGCACATGATCAAATTACAAATTGTCTTCTTACATTAAATTCAACATCTCTTCACATACAGTTGGTAAAAAATTAGTTTGGTAGAATTGATGAAGAGCAAAATGAGCAAGTTATTTATACACAACATTCAAGATTAATAAGCAGGTTGCTTGTAAATTATTTATATATTTATTGGTAAAAAGGAATTAGGTCGTTATCTTTACATAATTAATACAATTAGGTCATATATTGTAGAAGGTTCAACATAGGACAAAGTCAGAGCTTCTGTTATCCACACAAAAAAAATATAAGGTCACATACACAGACAAAATACAGACGGTGGATAAATGTTTAGACACAGGGTGTGAACACCACAGATAAAACACCTCAATGCTATATAACTTACATGCACTTGTGGACGACCACCACCAGTCTGTTTCTTTGGCCGCTGTAGCGTATAGTGATCTGTATCTTGCCCAGTCCACTGTCACTGCCCATTGCACTAGTTTTACTGGAATATATGACATAAAATTATGTGCTACATGTTACAGTGATTCTAAATATGATTATCACAGAGATTAGACAACATTGTAGTTTGGTGGAAAAGCAATATGAAGACTTTTGAAACATATGACATTGGAGAAGTGGCAAGGGGATCCTCACCATTCTTTTTTTAGACAACCAACTGATTTCTGTACACTATAAATTTAAGAGCACCCTGTGTGTGTGTGTTTGCGCGTGCGCACGCGCCACATTTACGAGAGAGAGAGAGAGAGAGATGAGAGTGAGGTGAGGAATTATTAGTCATATGGAATAAGAAGTAAATGTTACCTGTGGATTGAATGTCCAGACCGCCTCCTCATCTCGTTATTCTTCATGCTGGAGTTTGGTGAGTAGTCAGCAGAGCCTGCAGCAGATTTTGTGGGCGTTTCTTGTGCCTTACCATTTGGCGTGTCCAAGTCTGTTATATGGAGAATGCAATGGTCAGTATTATACCTTATGGACAATTATACTAGTCAATACTTCTGCAGTCAGGACTTTAAATTGTTAACAGTTGAGAATTGTGTCCAAGTTAAAGGTATGATAAATTACCAAACAGGCTATAGTTAAGACTCTGCAATATCAAATCAATAAATTACATTTTTTATTAATATTCCTCTTCCCATTAAACCAAAAAGAAAACATTTCTTCTACAAATGGAAAGCAAGGTATGAATCAACCAGAGAGAAAGTACTATTTCAATGAATACCCTTTCTTATCCAAAAGGGAAACACTTGCCACTCACAGCCAAATTAAGTGAAACAACCTACCAGGATCACAAAAGAGGAAATTTAAATCAAATCTAATGCTGGAGTTACGAAGTCATGAAGCAACGATAACAAAGTTGGATCACTTGAAATCACTGATTTCAAAGAGCTAGTCCAGTATTAGATTTCTTTTTGCTTCTTTTGTGATAGAACACTCCAGGACAAATAAGAGCATTCATTCTCTCAACCTACCAGGATCATCAAGAGAGAAAGTAGCAGAGGGCTCCTCCTCCTCTGCCCCGCCTTCTCCCTCTTCCTCTGTATTTTTGTTAGAATTATTGACCAGCGAGTCCACAGCCTCTTCTGTTGGCATAGAATCAATTGGGGCAGTACCAGACAGCAGAATCTAATGTATTAACAAAAATACTGACTCATTAAAAACTGCTGAATCTTTCAGATACATAGTTTTGGAAAGATGACTAAAATATATATTTTTGTGTAGCATTTTTAGCACAAGGTGGTCTGCTTTTCAGTTTTGTTGCTACCACTCAACAGGAATGTTCTAATTTCAAGAATTTATGACTTAAAATAATACAGTATCTGTCAAATTCAGAATTTTTCTCCCATTGAAAAGATCGAGTAATTACCATAGATGAATTTATTCTACATCAGTCTGTTACCATTAAATGCTAATAAATAAATCACTGACCCTAAGCTGTAACCTCAGTGTGATTTTACTCATTGGTCCAGACTCTTTGAGAGGATATGACTGGAACTTGGTCATGTCTTCATCATTCAGAAGGTCCTTCACAGGGACTGTCACAAAGCCCAACATCTTCTTGCTTTTAGAGTCATACACCTGGAATATGATGGACATATTAAGTTTTACAGAAAAAGAAAAAAAAAAAAAAACTGATATCCTTGAAAGACAGATTTGCTTGGTTTATAATTAAACCCTAAGGCTGTCTTTCTGGATCTGTTTAATCTTGTATAACTTTTCAACACACTGAGCTAGCTCCTCTTCTCAAATACACTGAAATCTATCCTCTAACAAACTTCTCTGTAACACTGGAAAATCTTCACATAACGCTTTAACAAAAAAACTTCCTTCAAAAACAGATGGTGAAATCTTCTCTAACACACTAAGCTTTCTTCTTAAACACATTATATTATAGAAATCTTCTGTAACACACAAGGCTTTATTCTTAAACACAAAGAAATCTTCTCTAATGCACTGCTACATTTACCTCCATATCCAGCTCCTGCATGTTAGGGTTGTGCACCAAGAACTTGAAGTTCTCCTCAAAGACAGGCTGATCAGTGTTCTTCTTCACCTGAGTCTGCTGTTTCTCCCCTCCTACACCCAGGGTCACATAGGGAGAGGGCTCTGTCAGGTACTTACCACCTGAATTCTGGAAAACAGGTGCACAATTAAATACATATCATCATTTATATATTTACACGAACCTGTAAAATTTTATTTAAAATGACTTTTTTTTTAAAATTAATTCTTAAATCAGCAGTGGACTGCAGTCTTTAATCTTATCTCACGATTATCAATAATTTTAGACAATTGAAAATAAATGTTACAGCTAGAGTTAAAGATATTAATTTAAAAGCTTATAGGTGGTCCTGCTCAATCGGGCATTCAGCCTGATGATGCTCTTATTATAATAGTGAAAAGCAGTTTTTACAGAATTTTTATTCCAAAGTAAGGGATATTCATCACCAAAAGCTTGACTTAAAACAATATTTTGGAACCATGAACAATTAAAAAGAACAATTAGCTTACTGTTACATAATAAACTATGGCTACAATCTAATAATGAACCCTAATTGTATCAATTTTAGAAAAGTAACATAAATATCTATGAAAAAAATGCACATATTTAAATAATTAAATAAAGCTCTTAAAGCTTCTTTAATTTATTTAAAAGACATATACTACTACCACTGATAGCTTTAACTTGCCAGAAATTTTAAGTCTTACCGCTCTTGTGACCTTGAGAGGTCAGCTCAAAGGTGAAATCACCAAAATATGTTAATAAGGTCTTAGAGTTACTGAGTATCTCTCAAAGAACACTCAGGAATATATTTCACGTCTATTGACACAGAAGCACACAGATCATATATTAAGCTCTTAGCCACTAGCAACATGATGGTAAGAAAACTATAATTGGTGCTGTGTTGAACTTCATAAATCAAAGTTAAATTTATTATAAATAGGAAATATATGATTAAACACACACACACAAAATTATAATGTGTTTATGTGCAGATACACATAACCCCACTTTAGGGCAGTTGTTAATAAAGAAATCATGATAGTACCACGTAGACAAAATACCACAGGCTCACATGACAGTAGACATGCAGATTAGTATAATAATATATATATGTTACAAAACCCCTTTCCATGGGCTGACTACAAGCACAATAAAATGACAACTACAACACAACATAGTCGCTCACAGCAGGGGCGGATTTAGTCAGATTTTCAAGTTTACATTGACGGGTATCCATCTTTTTCTGTCGGAAGACGGTCAAAAATGGAAGATGGATCAACAAAGATAATTTGGAAGACTGTCAGAAAGTAACTCTGGATCCGCCCCTGCACAGAAGAAACAGATTTGCTTGAGAGCCCCTTACCATACTATAACAACTACAATTTCTGTTAATATATAGCATCATCTAGACTATATGTAGACATGGTGAAACTTCCAGCCCTTCGGTCAGGGATCACTGAAATATTTAGGACCTGTGTAAAAAGTATCAAGCTAGTTATGTTGACTGTCAGTCAGTGATTGCTAACAAGTCATTCTCAATCTGAATATTTAGACTGGTAGTTGTTCATCTGGAGTGATAAGATTTTGATCTTTGTTCCTGATAAATGACTGGCATTTCGACCAATATTTTTTTCACCATGTCTGTATAATGAGTTTCAGAGAATACTGGAAAATGACATTGATTACCTCAATGCCCTTGATACTGGCAAGCTAAATACAGATGTGAGTTTCCAGAAATCTCTGAGGCCGCATTCACAACCAAAGTTGATCTGTAGACTAACAGATCGACGTATCAAATACGGCTGATGCACTTGAAAGCTTACCGCGTTGTCTCCCCATAGAACCTATTCATTGTTTATTAGGGGGTTATGCAGCAAGCTTTCAAGCAGGTCAGCCATTTTTGATCCGTGGATCAGTTAGTCCCTGGATCAGCTTGTTCTGAATGTTCCATAAAACTCATGGTGGTATATAAGCACACAGAAAGCACATATCACACTGCCCCATACCGTGGATTGACCACTGGCGCTATGTAAAAAACAGCTTCCCGAGGAACCCTGGGTATACACAAGTATTAGAATGATCAAAGAGTGGTCAGCGTAACAATCATGGTCATAACATCAATCGTGAATCTTGAAAATATTTTTTAAAAAGATGCAGAATGTTTTGTTATGTGGGGCTTTAGTTCTAATGTCATCTAATTTTAATTTCTTTTGAAAATAGCAGACCTACAGTCTACTTCAAATTCTTAGAAAGAAAATTTAGTATATCTCGTTTAGTTCTGAAATAAAGTGTAATGAAATAATGTGTCATGCAAGATGTGTGCCTTGTCTATGATTAGCTGAGTCAGACCTTTATTTTAACAATGTGTAAGGGAGGGCATTAATAACATTCAATATAATGTTAATTATAAAATTTCCCATTTTTCAGCCTTTTTAAACCCTGAACATGCACAAGTTTACCAATGACAGCATTCATAAGGTATTCAAATATAGTGTTTACTTTAGGAAGTTATAATGAGTGAGAAAGATCTCATAACAGGGAGGATTAGATTGGTGGTGGGGGTGGGGTGAGTTACCGTCTTCTTCCCAAAATTAAAACCAATTGAAAACAGTTCTGTTAAAGCCATCCATGCTTACTGCAGGCTACACATGCCTTGACATGCGTGTTCAATAAAGATGTGATAAATATCTTACTGGTAGATTGTGGCAGGCATCCACTGTTACCATAAGGAAACATGAGGACAGGTGTTCTTCACTCCACGCCACAGTACACTGCTCAAGAGCCTGAAAAATAGGGCAAAGGTTAGCCACCAATATATATAGGTCAAGGGTCATTTGAACCATTCATAATTTCACAATACCTAAAGGTTTTTATCATAGGATAAGAAACTACAAGCAGATGTAATATAAAACATGCATCAGGTGGATAAAAGAAATAGTAAATTTTTAATTTCCAGTGAGGCAATAACACATAGCAGAATAAAGTGAAACTGCAATAATTTTGCAGTTTTTTTTTATTTTTCAGTTAGAAGTCTACTGTTTTTGATGTTTTGATCCACCCAGCATACATAGATTCCTTGGTAGAGGACATATAAAGCATGCCGTAGGAGCAGCTATTTCATACTTTTTGTATAAGTTTGAAAAGATAACACTCTGCAATATCCATTGTTGTTAGAAAAAACGTGGTCAACAATAAATAAAAGAGATTTAAAAAAAAGACTGCTTTAATATGCAGTAAACCTTTTACTCCACTTGTTCTGTCAAATATATCTAACTCATTCAAATCTTCCAAATGGCCAATGTCATTAGAATAGCAATAACTGGCTACAGATAAAAAGTTGGCATTCTTCAACCTTCAAGGACCAAATTGAAGCTTTTAAGAAAGGACACTGCAATAATTACACTGCACCACAAGCTTTTCCAGTAGTCTCCCATAAGCAAGCTCTACCTCTTCTGAACTTAATGATACCATACTCTGGATGTTTTGGATTTTGCATGATAGTGGTTTTTAATCCATATTTTAACTGGGCAAAGGTTCCACAAAGAACACATCAATTTCTTTTACTTGCCATTTTCCCAAACATTTTAAGGTTCTGTTTCCAACCTGGCAATTTTTTTTGGTTGCCAAATTATATATAACTTTATTCAAAATACTCAGTTATAATGCTTATTAACAAGTAATAAACATTAAAACAATGTCTATTAATAATAAAAAACTGATACCAGAAAATGCATTTAGTTGGCAAACTAAACAAAAACAAAGCTAAGATTAAAATAAAGTCCTAGTTCTCTGTGAAACACAAGGATATCCCCTTTCCTAATGGTTGTTCAATAGGTAATAGGTTATAAGTGAAAAAATAACCAAATAAAAGAAAGATAATATCAGCAAAATATCTTATTGGGACAATAGAGTATAAAAGGAAAATGACTACATTACACAATAATGCAAACAAAATGTAATTTAAAATACAACTTTATGAAATTAAAAATTTGGAGAAGCAAATAATATCATTAACTTAAAGAATATGTATAAATTTTCTTAAATGGTACAAATCGAGTGCAATAACAAACTGAAACTAAAACATTCCCAAGAATCAGCTGAACCACATGTTGTAGTAAAATTAAGAGGCAAATAATACGTACTATTATTTACAGGAATATGCATATGTTTCTTAAACATTACACGTTTGAAACGACAAACTGAAAGAACTCGTACTGATTCAAATATCAAAAGCAAAAAAAAGCTGAAACCCTTAACAGACTGTTTTTAGTCAAAATGGCATTCTTAAATTGAAGAAGCAAGATATTACAAAGGAACAATTAAATTGAAGAAGCAAGATATTACAAAGGAACAAGCAATACTGTATCAATGATAATTTGATACCATCAGGGAGTGTATAAATAAGTAATGTAACAGTAACTAGCTGCAAGAACACATCAACAATGAACACTGTTGACAGTTGACATTCCAAAGCCAGGGAGAACCATATGTCATAAAAAGTCAACCAAACCCTAAAAAAAAACAACTTACCACATCGTGATAAAACAATGCAGAATCAATGAAACAGCATCAGGGAAAAGGAAGAAAAACAAGAGAGATATAAAGACAGAAAAAAAATCTATATCTAAGTAACAGAGAGCATAACACAATGCCTGCTCAATGTAACTAAAGGTTCAACAAGTTGGTGCTCATGCAATCAAAAACCTAAAGAGAAATACATATAAATTTATCAATGAGGCTTACTACGAGTTTAGCAGCATATAAAATTACAAATTTTAAAGAGAAGAACTACTTTTTAAAAAATACTTTAAAATCTGAAAAACAATAGGACAAATATGCAACAAAGTAGCAAACATAAACATCAGGGTGCAGATAAAGACAACCCGCTTCATCCGCCCCCCCCAAAAAAAAAAAAAAAAATGCCCCACCCACTGCTTTGACAGAATACCCATTCGCCAAATTTGGTCTATTCCATCTTTGAACATAAATTCATGGAAATCTTCCATTTAAAAACTACTGCACCCTGAACATGTACAACAGGAAGCCTAGGGTCAAATAACTACTGGAACGGTGTAACGTTACATGTGGCTTTACATGGCAGAATACGTCAGCAACTGTCACATGATGTTATGTTCCAGTTCGTCTTTGTTATCAAATTGAATGCACAACTAAATTTTGGAACATCAGAACATTGTGAAACATGAACCCTGACATGAACTCGTACATCTAAAACTATGAGTAGTAATATAATAAATATGATTACTAGTAATCTAACATGGTAGTGTCAAATAATCTATATCTGAAAACGCAAAATATTGTGAATTAATATTTAGATATTTGTCAGAATTTATCTCGGCATGAATGAAAAAAGTCAATTTGCACAACAAAAAAAAAAAATGAAAAAGTCCTTTTTGAAAACTCAAAATGGAAATCAGAACGAAAATTAAAATAAATAGACAGTATGTCAAATCATCATGAAACTATTGTTGAATTCATTTATATCAAATACAATAAGATAAAGTTTTCCTTATTATTGTAAATATTGCATCTAGAATGAAAAAGGTGTCTCACTGATGGTCTTAAATCTCAAATGGGGATAGCTGGAAAAGTTGCCACCAGGTGAAAGCACAGTGTTTTGATTAAAAAAGAATATCGATGACATTTTTTCTACAATCAATAATTGCAATTGTGTTTTTCTGGTTGTGCAAATAGTAGGTAGTAGGTTAGTAATTATAGTTATGTACCAAAATGTCAGGAATGAAGAATTTGAGCTGAAACGTTAGTATGGCCCAAGCAAGCTGGTAACATTTTGACTGATAATTCTCTTCAAAAGTCTGAAAAGAAACAAATTAAAACAGAAACACTGAACAGGAAAGGGATTAAATTTAAATAATTTCAAAACTTTTGAAAGAAAGATTATTAAAAAAAAAGTTCAAGAATTCATCAACACAAGTTAGGTGATTGATAATCATCATAACTAAATTATCTCATTTAATTAAAGCAGAACAATATAATTGTGGATATCAATGTCAAAGGTAGAAAGAAACCAAATCACTGAATAAGTTGATTTCATGCATAGCCGGCAGCTCTATTTTTTAAGCTGTTACTGTACAGCCACTAGAACAGTTCAACCATGTCAACTTTAAGAAAAAAATATTATTCTAGCCAAATAAGTGATTTTTTTGCAAAAAAAAAAAAAAAAAAAAAAAAAAAAAAAAAAAAAAAAAAAAAAAAACTCTGGTAGTGTGGCAAAAAAGTACTGTATGTTTTCTTTATCAAATTTATAATTTGTTTTATTTACCAAAAATTTACAAATCTCAAATGAATCCAATTGAATATTAATAAAAGACAATCTTGTATCATACAATATTAAATTGACTACATCACACTGATTCAGTGATATGGATTAAAACCTAGAACCAAACGAATCCTAGATTTATCTTACAGCATAGCACACGGGTACATCGTCATATGCTCTTCTGGACCGATATCGTTTGTTTTGCACTTCCTTTAATACATTAAGACATAGACCAAAGGTAAGAGAAGAAAGGAAAAGAAAGCAGACAAACAGTCACTGTGTTTTCACAAGCAAGTACAGTGTGACTAGAAATGTTAGTAAATGTATTAACAGTACTTAAGGATTAATCAATAGGATAGTTCTAATACAGGGTGGGAACTGGGCTATTAAAATATATCTTAAAGCCCTGAAAAACAAAATGATATTGTTAAGAGAGGTTAAAAACCATAAGACATCAATCACACAACATAATCAAATGTGGAGAAAAAAGTAACTACAATAATTTCAGAATTACTTCTCTGAAAAGCAAAAGACCAAGTGGAAAAAGTTGTCTCTTTTAAAACCATGCACTGTAATGTTTTATTGCATCTAAATAAAATGCTATACATGCCTGAGAAATGTTATTACATGCTAAAAAGAAATAATTTCAGTGATGTATTCCTACAACTATTCACTAAAAGAAAAGGAGAAACTCGATTATCTTCAAATAATTCACTACAGATATGCCAAGATGCCCCCCTCTCACCTAAATCTTGGTTATGATTTTGTCTTTTTATTTGTCAGCTTGAAACAATGACTGTGGGGAAAAAATACATTTATCAGTATGCATCCGAAACAGTTAGAAATTCACTACATACAGTCCTACGACCTACCTTGTCTATATCATCAGGATTTGATGAGAGGTTCAGCCATGTCAGGCGCAGGTGAATCAAACCAGTGTCAACATTCTCCAGGGGGAGCCACTGAAACAAGACAAGCTTGAATAATCAAGAGCAATATTTCACCTAATCATATCTGAATACTATATCCAAAACGTTTTATTGTTTTTTTAAAAGGGGACCTATAAGTACAGCAAACAGGTATTAATTCAACCATTTAAAAAGGTCTTTATTTTTTGTTAAAAGATCAACTAAATACGAAAAGATCACATGCACAGATCCATGATTTTACTACTACGACAGGAAGGTGTAGGTGAAAATAATACCATCTTGTTTTAAAATTATTTATCACACTTGAATGCCAACTAATCATATTCAGGGGAAAAAAGGAAGAAGGCCTAGGGGCTTCAAGGATTAAACCTACGCAGAAAGGATAAAATTATATTATAAAAAGTTGAACCTACTGAGTCCATGTGCCCCTTCTCGGCTACACTACTGATGTCCACACTTACACTGAAATGACACAGAACTCAACTGTGAAACCATGGTGACATGCATAATAATAATAATAATAATAATAATAATAATAATAATAATAATAATAATAATAATAATTAGAACAAGATTGGACATGCAGACGACCTATTTATATTGGTAAAGTGCTGCTCTCCACATTCTTCATACACTTCTATTTGAAAACAACTGTAGACTCTCTCTCTCTCTCTCTCTCTCTCTCTCTCTCTCTCTCTCTATATATATATACTGTGGCATGTGGAATACATGAGAAGAATAAATCGGTAAAGGTAGTGTATTAAAATGGTGATGTGAATGGATATAATGCTGTACACACTGGTGCAATATTGGTGATGCATACAAACACATGGAAAACAGAGACGAACACATCGGGTATAGGACATTGGTGACATGAGTGGGGTATAATTATACCATACACATTTAGTACAATATAACTGAAACAGGCATGCATGGGGAAAACACTGTATGTGTGTTATGCCACATGCTATGACATAACATTGATAAATACATAAATGAGAGCTGTCTACAGCTTTTTTGTAGCTGAAACAAATACTAAAACAGATGAAAGCATGCTTAGAATGGTCACTAATGATCATAGTAACACTGACAGTAAATAGTCTAACAGAAGTGACCAACTGTTCCCTTAGAATTTCAAATCTTAATAATCTGGTCATTAAGACTACATACAGTTTTTAAAACTTTCAGCTATTAGTTTGAAACTCTCAGTGCTTTCTAAACATTTCTCTTCAACATATTTGGATGCTGACAAAGCAAAGATGAAGCTTTGTTGTAGATTAATACACCAATGAAGCAGGTAATATATAATATTCACTTTTCTACACAATACACTATATACTATCTGGAATCTAAATCCAACCAGGGCTTCATTCCTTATTAAAAAAATGTATGAATTTAAAACTAATATTGACATTATCATATAAAAATTATCTTAAATTATCACAGCCATTTGCCTGAACAAAAAGCACTTGACAAATTTGTCAATTGACTGAAATATGGAGTAGTAGTTTTAGAACTTTATGGAGGTTTTAAGAGCTTAGAAATGTATAGAAACTGAATCAGTGAACTGGTTATTTGAAGACATCTCACCTCAAACTTTCAAGTAAGTGTGCTAGATGCTGCTGGTCACTTGCAGATACATAGCTTTCACTTTCACTGGGATTATTAAAATCAGATTATTATTTAAAGTGTTTTTGTAAAAAGAACAAAACATGTCAACCTTCACTTTCAGTGCTCCTCTGACTACAATTATTCACCATTATTAAAATAAGATCATTTATATGACCAGTGATAAATAAAAGGTATTATAACTTACATTGGCTAAAAGCATATGCTTGGTTTTAGTTTCACATTTTTCTCAATTTCCACAAATTTCTCTTGCAGACAAATTTTTTAAAAGACTGTGATGATCGCCAATAATTGTGAAAATGGTACAGTGCCCAATTCTACACCTAAAATTCATTTGTTAATAATTTTCATATCTGTAAGTTTACATATCTTTTTTCTCACTTGCTTAATGCCTATTACCTAACACACTACTCTTACTGCAACATCTCATTTTACTTCAAGATCTACAAAATTCATATTATCACACAAGTTATCATATAATACATTCTAGCAAGCTAGTATGCAAATTCTACAGTGCCAGCAGACCTTCAAGTTAAAAATCATTTCAAGAATTTTATACCACGGTATAAAATAGTCATTTGAGACTTTAACCTGAAATATTCTTTAATAAAAAGCCAAATAGGATTTCCAATTTGAAAAGAAAAAAAAATGGAAGGGCATGGGGAAATTTTTTAAAACATGCATAATAATATTATATAACATATCATGCACAGTAAGTAAAAAACTGTGCAGCAACTGTGCCAAATGTTACCATGCACATTCAAGGTGAATAAAAAAATTCCTATCCCAAACCCAACTTGAATACAAGTTATTAACTTAAAAAAAAAATAAAATGATTAAACTAGCATCAACATTATGTCTTACATTTGTTCTGCTTTATTTATCTTTTACAATTTCAATAAATAAATAAATAAATAAATAAATAAATAAATAAATAAATAAATAAATAAATAAATAAATAAATAAAATGATGATATTATGATTAATCAATTGTTAAAATTCAGTAAGAATGGATACCTTTTACACATTTATCATCAAATTATGTATGCTATCAATATTTTGGTAATATAAAATGAAAAATCAACAATCAACAGTAAAAATATCAGTTAAAAACCATAACCAGTTACTAACTACATCATGAACTGTATCCAATGCATTCAAATAAAGGGGATCTATATGATACATACACATCAATAACTGTAATACATGCCTATATATATCAATAACACTTATGCTAAGTTCAAGGCTGATTTTTTTCAGCAAAACTAACATTGATGCTACAACAGAAAAACGTTTTATAAAGGACGTTTGTTGATAAAGTACTTGATAATGTCCTCTTACCATCCCAACCTGTTATCCCTGGGTTACAAAACAGAAGCATATATATATATAATATATATTAGTGCATTAAGAGATAAATGGATAAATCACACAGTGTCAAGATTAATAGATTCTTAGGAACAGCACATAAACAAACATGGTGAAAGACTTGGAAGTAAATTTTGAAGCTAAGCTTTATGGAACAAATGAAGAAGAAAGAGCAGAGAAAATCCACACACCTTTTTTTTTTTAAATATTTCATTTTGCAAAAGCTGTAATTATGTTTACTTCCTATCTGGCTTAGGATTGACAAATTCACCATGTCTGTATGTATAGATATAAAAAGTATTTATTAGGCAAGATCATAGTGGACCACACCAGTGATATTTGCAAGATCATGAATTAAATTGAAAATCGATAATTATTGGTGGGAAACTGCAATTGTATCAATTTGAAATTAGATTTCTGTATGTTCAGAAAAAAAGGGCATGTTTTTCATGAATTTTTTTTTTCTTTGAAGAAAACTGGATTTTCTATCTCTTCAAGGTATAAGATGTGTAGATTACATTTCACAATAACAAGTTAAGAGCATATGAATTAACATGACACTTTTGGGGGTGAAATATAGTGACAGAAGAATATAATCTATTTTACAATTAATCATTTGTGAAAACAAATAAATTCCAGGCCTTCATTCTTCATAAAAAAAAAAAAAGACATTCAATTTAATTCCAGTTACTATTTATGCCAACATATTTTGCAATTTACACAAATATCAATTAAAATCGGTATTACTAATCTACTTCATTAACAAGCTCAATATGCCAAAAGTTATGAAGAAAGCATATGATGGGCAAAACTTGTAGATAACAATTCAAAATTCTGTGCAGAGCCATACAATGATGGCTATTCCACAAAAATCATACACTTGTGCACCGTTTTACTATAACATACAGACTTGCCTACCACAGATTCCATGCACTGGCATGTTGCATATGTTCGGCTTATGTGCATGCACTTGCATAGTGAATACTTACATTCCTATCTTGTCATCCTTGTCCGGGTCCTTGTCATAGACTCTGACTTCCAGTATCTGACCCATACGCTGGTCAATGATGGCCTGAAAAAGAAAAACCAATTGAAAAATAAAAGAAGAAAAAATTCACAATAACCTTCAAACATTCTGGAGCATACCTACTTATTTCAATTACTTCATGTGTGCTCATGCAGGCTTAGACAACATCTTTATAGAAATGTGCAAACTTTGTATGTTTAACGTAGTTACTGTAGAGATAGAATGAGGTTGTCATGATGCTAAGAGCACAAGCAGGAATAACTTTATATACACTTCAATTCTTGTGATTATTACTTGAAATTTCCCTTAACAGTCTGCATATTGTTTAATATGTCATGCTGATTCACATTCCTGAAAGTCACTTTTGCATTTCTTCATGTTTTTACAGCATTTTAATTCAATACATGACTTCTTTCAAAATTCATATACTGCTTTACCTCAAAGAATTGGTTCCATGTTGGGTTGAGTTCATTATTTATCACTTTCGTCTTAAAATCTTGAGCACCAACTGTAAAGAAATAAAACTAAAACATTACACCTCAGAATAACAGGATAGGCCAGTGGGTTCTTTTTTTTTAAATACCATTTCAATATTAATACACCAATTTATTACTTGAAATATAATAATGGGGAAAAGAAGCTAAGGAGAGAGAGAGAGAGAGAGTTCTAACCTCTGAGCTTGCAGTATGGGTCAGATTTGCCCTTCCCTATGAACGCAATGTCAGCCTTCATCAGGTCTTTGGCACCAACAACATGGATACGGAGCACACCCTAAGTATTTGGATAGTGAAAATAAAATTATAAAGGCAAAATTATAAAAGCAAACTGTCAACAGAAAACTGTAAAAAATTGTATCTAAATACAAGAAGTTGAATTTAAGATTAAAAAAAAATTAAATTAAAAACAAAAATGAAGAAAACAAATCAACTAAAAATCATGTTAGTTTATTATACATACAAAAAAAAAAAAAAAAAAAATGCTGCACTTTCAACTTACTTGTGGTAGTGGCTATTTGAGTAGGTTTGACTTACCTGTGGGAGAGGGTATTTGAGGAGGCTTGACTTACCTGTGGGAGAGGGTATTTAAGAAGGCTGATTTCAGCCTGTTGGCACAGCTGTATGGGGAGTTTATTTGGCAGTACCATCATAGCAGCTATTTGATCTCGAATGGCATGATGAAGGATACCACTGAAATCACAAAATTAAAAAAAAACATTACTAAAATGTAGAATTCAAAAGAGTACATGTTTTCCTTTTTTCGGTTGTATTAATTTAGCAGAGAAAGGATGAGTTAGATTAGAAGTTTAAAGCAGTTGGGGCAAGAGTGACAGGATTGTGATAGCAGACAGAATTTGAGAGATTTTTAAAGTCACTGTGACAAATTGATACTGTGTGTAAACTAACTAAAAGTGCACTCTATTAAACTTAAATCCTCCATTTAGTTGGACTGACATCGGGGCAATAACCAATGAATTCAAATCCATAATATTTTATTGTTATCATTAGGACTCTACTGTGAAAAATGGCTGTAATGAGCATATAAGATCACACTGTAATTTTGCTTTTCCTTCTTTTTTTTTTTTTTAATTAATATTTTGGCAGCAATCTCTTAAACTGACTTAAATTGTTAAGAATATTATCACTGTCTCTTGCAGTAGCAGTCAAAGGTACAAGCACAATGAATTAATTGCACATGCATGAGCCACTTAACATAAGAGCGGAGTGTAAGGGTCAAAAACCAAACTGGACAAAAAAAAAAAAAAAAAAAAAAAAAACAAATTCGGTTACTAAAATTGGGTTTTGGGGAAACAGTGTATATATCTTATACTGATAAATCTTTAGGATTTTGGTTACCTTCATATATTTCATCTTACAAACAATATGACACTTTTCCAAAGTTTATATGCTACTGAATCAGTGATGGCAAATTTTATTTCAGAATCTATCCTTCAGGTATAATACTTTCTTGGGATGAAATGCAATCAACCATAGTCATATCTTTGAAAGTGATTATCTTATGTGAATAATTTCCACTGGGATAACAATTATTGCCAGCAAACGCTCATTTGATTTACAAAAGATTGGTATAAAAGAGCTACTGAATCACAGAATTGCTAAAGCACTGTGCAGACTGGCAAGAATGCTTTTTCCATAGTTCATAAATGAGAAAAACAAGTTGCTACCTTATATCAGATATATCTTCACTGAAACTAGAAATGAGAGTGTTAAAGAGAAAAAAAAATGACAGTAGCAGATTAAGATGCATTGATTCATATTTCAAAATTATCTTCATGCTAATCTCTCTGTCCTCAACATCACATCCCATTTTCCTTTTAAAAATAGTTCATTTGAAAGGCCATTAACAGTTTCTGATTAAACCTTTCTCTTTGACTTTCACTGTTTATTCCACAAAGAAATGTGACTCTCTGACTCACAACAGTGATGCACTCGGTTTGTGTAATATTTGCATAACAACTTTTCATCAAACAGAAAAAAAGCTTCAAAATTCCTTCAAAATTCTGTAAAATTTTACACAAAATATGAATGAATGCCAGCATAACTCTGAAATTCACTTTTTCATGTTATAATGTGCAAATCACAGCATTGTGTTAGATAAGAAAGAGTTTAGAGTCTCAACGCAATCTTCCTTTTTACCATGACTCCTCTAACACAATGAAATAAAACTACCACCCACCTTAGACCAGGGATGTCCAGTGCATTGGCCACATTGGTCAAATTAAAATCTATCATCTGTAAAAAGGACTCATTTTAAATGTTGTATAAAAATTAAAAATTAAATCCTCAGTTTTGTTTATCAATATGCAAGACTGAGTTAATTTGAGGTTGTTTTAAGCAAATATAATTATTTAATATTATATTTTTTTCCACAATCAACTTTAAATGGTTACTATCTGGATATATATACACAAAAATTTTATCATGGTGGAGTTTGTGGTGTTAAAAAGTTTGTAAAAAAATCATAGCTCATTTCAACCAAGATTAACAAACCATTTTGCTAACTTCAAAACATCAGAATTGGCTCATCCAAAAGTTAATAAAATTCACACAAATTATAATTTTTTACTTAAAATTTACACCAGACTTAAGCAAAAGTCTCTCATGAAAAAAAAAAATTAAATTAAAAGTGTGCTATCAATGATACTATAAATAAATGAAATGAAATCAAGAGAATTGTACTTACAGGTCTGTTAAGGAAGAAGACAGTGATTCCCCCAATCATAGGCATGACACTTATCAATGGTTTAAAGACAATACGCAGGGTACCACGTAGCTGAGGACAGAAATTGATCATTATATTACACTCACATTATAATTTGGTCATTCTACTTTCTTTTTTTTTCCTTTAATAAGACTAGTCACCTAAATCAAAATCTCCATCCTCATCTCTGGGAATCAGTGCCAATTTTTTAATAAGGTCAACTTTAACAATAATTCTAACATTCAATTTGCCAGGAATGGCTGTGAAATATTACATCCCATGGTAGCCATATTTTGATAAAATTTCATTAGAAAAAAAAAATGAAATACCTTGCCTAACTTTCTCTTACATTTTTATATACCTCATCAATAAAAAAATCATTTGGCTGAAATTAATTGGGATATCTCAGACATCTTGGCAAAAAGACTGGACCTTCTGCATGAGGTTAACTCAATTTTAAATTGTAAACCTTTTTATTCAGTCATGTGTTTTTCATTTTCTCTGTATGTTTACCTGCAGATCTTTAATTCCTGCCTGTATTCCTTTCACTTTGACCCTAATGTCTGAGTCACTGGCATAACTGAAAATTTAGAAAAAAGTAACATGCCAAAAAAGAAATTAATTAAGCAAGAACAAACTAGATATAAAGCACGTGTTTCCTTTTTTCCAGTGGTTATACAAACATACATTTATAAAACCCCTCTGCATCTAAAATTTTTTAATTCCCTAGTACAAGTTTTCTCCTATCTTTCCAACATTTTAACTACAGCTTTTAAAACTTCATTCATTTGGTATATTTCTATAGATGTCAGAATATGTTAAAGAGTAAAGATAACCCCCGAGTTTCAGTTTACTGGAAACTAACCTAGAAACAGCAAAACTATGCCAGTATTCGCTGACGTATTTAGGCTAGTTAACAGTGCCTCTATTAAACTTGAGGCAGTCACAACTTCAAGTATATTTACAGCATACCGTTTTACTCTTACTATATATTAGACATTCATCTCAACTTTTTCTAATAATTTCTACTCACAATATATCCATATCTAGCACAATTTCATCCCTACGGACATTTTCTGTGTAAACCTTGACTCCCCCGATTCTTGGAGCCTGAAGAAATTTTGAAAAATTATTAAATTTTATGTGAAATACACGTAGCCAAATTACAATCATGCTACCAGGTTACCAGTTAAATTATTTTCTGAATATTTTAGTAATTGCCACTGAACTTGCAGGCTCATGGCTGATATATTTTGGTTCAAACATATTAATTTCCATTTCAGTACATTTGGGAAAAAATGCAGTCTGTAAAACATATTATTAACCTGAATATTATATCATGAAAATATAATGATCCTGATTCCAGACTGACTTTATTTGTATAGTTTTTTCTTATTGAATCTGAACAGCTGAGCTGCAACCTTAGATTAAAAATGGAACATCCTTGGGCAATTACAGAACCGATACCTCTATGCCAAGTACTTTAATGCCTCTAAAGATAATCTGGTGCAGAAAGTTTTGTTAAAATCCTTGGTCCAATATTTATGGAACAAAGTAATATAATAAATAGACAGGCTATATACAAAATACTTACAATATCCCCCATGTCAATTTTTTCAAATTTAAAAGACTTCAGTGATGGTGGCAGGTTGTTTATTATACTGGGTTCAATGGTGTTCCTAAGTAAGTCATCTGTATATTTCCCAACAAATGGCCAAATCTGCCGTATCATCTAAACAGAAAACAAAAGAAAGCTTAAATATGGATGGATGGATGGATGGATGGATGGATGGATAAATAAATAAATAAATAAATAAATAAATAAATAAATAAATAAATAAAATTGCAGGAAGGGAAGAGGCACCTAAACGCACCAGATCGAAATTAATTTCAATATCCACTTCAAGACTTTGATATTTGTTTATAGTTTGAATTAGGTGATGCAGTTCAATATAATGAAAGAGAAGCCAGAATATCAGAACAAATGCGATGATTTTAAGCAGCCATCATCATCAATCTGGCACAAGCTTTAATGAGATGACGTTAGCAGAATCCCAATCAGCTGAAATATTCTGTATGCTATTTATGTTGTCTCCCAGCCAGACCAAAATTCCACATCTTTTCTCTCTCTGATAACTATACTAATACCTTATTCAACCACTCTGCTCTCTCCACATCTGGGAAAAACACCTAAAAATAGAAAGAAAAAATATTTTCACCAACATGCCACGATATCCTGACAGCAGCTACTGCTGCTGTGTGCTCCTAAGGTTTTCACTGGAATTTCAGTTTTTAATTAATGAAAAGTAGGACTGTGCACATGTATGTACATACTTCTGGTTCACATGAAGAACTTTTTGTGCAAAATAGTTAAATTTAGGGTTTCAATTTGGAAGATTCTCTTTTATTAATATCATAATAGTTGGGTAATTTCATATGAATGAACTCTTCTGTACTAGTATGTTGTTCACAAACTGGTAGGGTTATAAAAAGAAATATAACACATCATATATTGGGATTGATGAGTCAAATCTCCTGGTTAATCATTTAAACTTAATGCTGAAACTTCATAATTACCAAAATAGAAGTGATTCAAGCCTTGTTTTTATATAAAAAAAGCAAGCAACACACACACACACACACACACACACTCACACACACAAAAAGAGACTGTCACAGTAAGATAAATATGAATCGTATACCTCTTAAATTGCTCCTACATACATAAGACACCGGGTAATAAGGGGTTAAGAAAATTTGTACTGAAGATAGTGATGACCTCTTGAGGACAACTGTTAAACTAACAGTGATAACCTCATGTCTGTGGTATTGTCTTAAACCAGAAAGAATGCACTTCAAATGCCAACATACTATCAGTTAAAATCACACCAATTACCTCTAGAATAATATTTAGGTATTTGGAATGTGCCACATTATTATTTCAGTATATTCACAGAGACCAATTTCTGAACAATGAAAAATTTGATCCTCTTTATGGCTGTTGTATTTTTTCAATCTTTGGTATTTTCCATCTAAAATAGAGGTTTTATCAATAATAATAAAAAAATTATAACTGAAATTGAGTTCCCTATAACATTTTCTTTTATTGTCATATCAAATTCATGTATACCTCAAATCTCATGCCATGCGTGTTTGTGCATGCACGTATTTGTGGCTACTCGATATTCATCATTGATTGTATACTAAATCAAACCAATGATTTTGGATCAGGTTATATTTTTCAGTTTTTTTTTTCAGCTGCAGCAGCATGATCTCTTGCTTAGGAGTGATGTAAGAGGCATTTTGGTGCTTTGTGTGCCTGATCAATATCACTTCTGTCAGAAAAAAATGCAGATTACTATCATGGTCAATATTCAAGCTTTAACTAAGTACAGGTTCACTAGAATTTTAAGTTCAGCTTAGAACTCTTGAAATTTACAGTCCTAACAACAAGTGGAGAAAAAAACAAAATAATATATTCTACCCAGAACACTAGGGTTATATCCTAAAATTTTCCTACTCCTCATTTTCTCTAACATTTTTACTTTTTCCAAATGTATCATTTTCAGAGACTCNNAAAAAAAAAAAAAAAAAAAAGAAAAGAAAAAAAATCTGATAATAAGCCAGGTATCTTTTCAAAACACTTGAATCAACATTTTTTTTTTTTTGAGTAAATTTTCAAGTCATGATGCTCAAATTTATTACACAATTATTTTTTTCGCTGACACTGCAGCCAAGCATATCCGCAGGACAAAGATTTACTAGTAATCTAACATTTTGCTAACTGTTGCCATTTCAACCACACATACAACTTGATACAAGGTAGGTTGAGACCTCAAATCCCATTTAATGCTCTACAGGTGACATTATCAAACCATTACCATTAAACGTACATACAGGTATGACACTTTAGTAGGACCACTATAATACTATCCTATATTACAACTCCCTATGCCTTTCACCTCTTAAGACTAGGTCACAGTTAACCAACAGCACACTATTATGTGATGTAGAGTAAGTTCTTTGGTTCGGATTATCATCACCATATCAACTACACAGGTATATTGACATAATATTGCTCCAGGTATACAAATCATTTAATGTATTATAGGAGTGTGCACAAACTACAAAACTTCACAACCTTGAATTCAAGGGTGAAAATGTGATATGGCTTATTTTGTAGCTTCTTGTTATTTGTTTGTTGATCCATTTGTTCATTTTCTTTTCTAACAGAATTTGGATACTTACCCTGGTATATTATATTGTATACACCGTGTTTATCTTGAGATTAAAAAAAAAAATGGTTAGAATTTTATGCACAAGGCAGTATTAAATTCCACTTTCTTTTCTACTTTAATTTTTTTTCAAATGAATAAGCCATGCCATAAGCCACATTATATATAAATAAAAAAATTATAAAAAATAACGGGGGGTACTAAGGAGTCGATTAACCTTTCAACATCAAATTATAGATTAACTCTGCTGGAATTGCCTCAGGTGAATTTGACATATGCCACAGTTGGACAAATGATATATACATAATACTAATTTAATATAAACAGAAGAAGGGTCAGACAGACAGACAGACAGACAATTTTGCAAATGTTCTGGTAAAAAAAGCAATTTTGTACAATGCAGTGAATGTAGCCACATATGCTGAGCCAAGATAACTGTACAGTAACCTATTGTGTGGTTTATCTCGATCATCAATCTAGAAACCAATTGAGATGTTTAAGAGCCTCATATCAATAAAGCAACAGTGCATCTGTTCCCTGTAATATAGTTGAATTGATGTTTGTTTACATCATGTTGAATAATACAGTGCCCTTATTATGTATACGCTGAATCATAACGCGCGGCTGCTTGACATATTGAAGCATGTATACTACTACATGAATTACTTGTGCTGAGGTTGCAGGTGACAGGAACCTAGATACTGTAATAAATAAATAAAGAGAACCACCTTCAACTGGTCATGACCCCCATTTTTGTCCCAATTTCACCTCCACCCATCACAGTGAACAGGTATTTTTTTATGGTCACCAAGTGACAAGGACATTTTAAAAAGGAATGCAGGGGGTTACTTTAACAAGGCTGAAACTAGGCACCAACAGCAGCTGGTGTAGATACACTTCAAATATGAGTGAAGAGTTCTGACAAATCTTGGTTTCAAATTGATTAAATACATATGTAGTCTACAGAATCAAACCCATAATAATTTTGGTCTTGACTGTTCATTGCCATCTTAGTCTAGGTTGACTCTGGAATTGTAAATTTTGCAAAAAATATACTTACTAGTATCACATTTTCATTAGGCAGTAAGTGTAAAATATTTCACTATTTTTGTTAAAGCTGTACTCGGTTTAACATTTTCTTTGGCTGAATCCTTTCCAGTCATTTACTAGTATCTGAAAAGAAATTACTAGTACCCCAGAAAAAGGCCTGTCCAACTTACCATAAGTAAGTTTGACATCAATTACCTTGCAATTTCCCATTAGTGTTGATAATTACAAGAGCTGTAAAAAAAAGATGAAAACTCAAAAAAAGAAAAAAAAATCTTTTAGTCTTGTTCAATAGATATCCCTTACTAGTACTAGTAAATCCATACCAGTATTTAATAATGGCAAAACTATATCAATACGAAAGCTTGTAAGTTTCTGCCTTCAGACAGCATCAAGGTTGCCTATAAATCAAGGACCACAGACAACATGTAGTAATTGGCAGTCCAGGAAACTTTAGGATATTTTGGGGAAATGTTGAGAAAGGTCAGACAAAATGGTATAATACCAGTTGCTGCACAGAAAACCAATGCTGCCAACCAATTCTCTGCTTCTCTATACTGTTTCTTTTCTTTATTATTATTTTAATCTTCACATTTTTAGTAAACTTCACCCTTTTGAATTTCATTTTAAATAAATCCTTGTTATCTCTTTTACTGTTATTATAGTTATTACTATCATTACTATTGATTTTAAACATCTGAGCCATTGGCACAACCCTATATATATACTCAGTTCTGAGAAAAGTACTTCTAGCACCCAAGTCTAGCCAAGTCTTTACTAAACAGCTTCTTTAAAGAGGAAGGTTAAATCTGATCAAAGTGAGAGAAGAGATAACAACTATCCCACCTGTTTTGTTTATTATTACCTGACAGCTCTTGCTACTACCTACCTGGCCACAGTGGCTCACTAATGTTCTTATAAATATAATATATGTATAGCACGGTGGATAAATGAGTGGTCAACATAGGGGCCTATTTCTGGAGATCTATTGATTTATGAAAGAAACACATTGAAAAGAAAGATGCATGGCTGTAAAATAACTTGAACTTACAGGTATACACAAAGTGATAGCTGGCAGAGATGTAAATCATATGTGCTTGTGTCAGGATATTTTCAGTTCACCTTAAAATCTATACTATTGTCTGGGGAATTTTATATCCAATGCAAGTCTCAATTAAATGTTTGATTGCTTTTCCCCCCCCTTTAAATTTATGTTGCAGTCTGCAATATTTTATGTCTGCATTGCGAGTATGAATAAAACTTTTTTCTTGTTTACCTTCAAATATATAAACTGAAGCCAAGGATATAAATTTATGTTTGCATTAAGCAAAATAGATACCTGCACCTGAGTCTGCAAATGATGGTACTTTATGCAAAACTCAAGCTGCATAAATAAATATTTTTCTTAATATTAATCATGCATTATATTGACTCAGTGTAACCACCAGCAACTTTACCATGTGATACATTACGTCATTCCACATTTTGCTTGCCATGCATATGATGGCCATAACCATGAAAATAATAGTGACATAATTATTTTTTCCTATATGTTAGTTTTATGCAGCTAGAAGTCTGTCAATGTTTAAGACTTTTATTACCATTTAGAACAGAATAATATACAAATAAATTCCAATTTATGTTGTGATTCTATACATGTACTTGATCATATTACTGGTACTCACATTTATTTCCATTCAAGATTGCTTTTTTATTTTTAAATGACAATGTTCATTTTATTTCTGTACAGGAATCACTGGACCCTTATTTATTTATAGATGCATATACTCGCCACACGTTCACTTTGCACTGCTCCATAATATTCACAAGTACTAAAAATTCAAATTTTAACTCTTAGTGTTGCACTTTCAGTTGACAAACACCTTGCAATTGTCACCATTAGGATACGACCCCAACTTCTTTAGGGCAAACAGTACACTACAAATAATATGTTTCTTAGTTTGCATGGTGTCACATTGATAATAAAACTATTAGCAGTACTTTTAGTAGTATTTCAAATAATAAGGGCATCTGAAAATGATAGTACATGTACTACATACCCATGAAGGCAAATCTTCCACTCTTGCCAATATTTCATCCTTCTCATTCTTCGCTGAAAACTGGGCGATCTCAGTCTGGAGCTTTTTTCTCCTCTGGTATGTCTCATTCCACATAAAGATGAAGAGACCGAGGAGGATCCAACTGACGCTGAAGTCGAAATAGCCCATTATCCAGACGAGTAGGAGGAGGGCGACCAGTTTCAAATACCGCACCACCAACTGCAAGATCGTCGTGTCTCCCTTCGCTGGGGGTGGAGGTGCAACCTGCGACTGGTTATCAGCCATGCCTACCTTTTGGTAACTGCAACCAGAGAAAAATATTGTATTTTCATCAAAATTCAAGGATAACCTTGTAGTTGTAGCCGGTTTTCTTGGTGCTCCATTTCTCTTTGACCTCGGACGAGTCGAACAAAGATAGGGTGGAACCTGATATAAGTTAAATAGTTTTATTCAGTGTATGTCATTCAAACTTAAAGTAAGGACAAATAAAGAGTCAAAAATATTGGCAAATATATATGTGTGTGTATCCCCTTCCAATAAACTTTATTCTTGATCGGAATTACGATACTTGATAGATCTGTCGTAACTTGATTAGCCACATTCATTCCCACCGCAATGGACTCTTCTGGACTCTTCTAAAGTATCCACTTACAGCAAATAAAGTCGTAAAACATGAAAATCTGTAAAAAAGATATTTGTATTTTAACTTCATTTGCTTTCACGAAAAGCAAGAGTGGATCAAATAAGCAGATTTCTGACAGCCAAATGTTAATGGATGCTCTGTATTTATTTTGACATTTTACTGCAATACCGGCAAGTGCTTTCTACGCATGCGCGTTTAAAGAAATAGTTTTGCTGAAAAGTGGCGGTGATGGAAGAGAGGTGAATATTTGCGGATTTACAAGTAGTGCTACGTATATGTTGCTTGATCGTGGGCGGATAGAATATCCAAAATGCCTTCGGAAAAGGTAGGTATCAATAAGCAAAATTGTGGCTCGAGCAAATACACCATGCACCTTTGAATTTCATAGTTTACTCTGTTGCTACGAACATGAAACTGTAAATGTCTGCATATCCCTGGATTGTACTGTCATAGAAGGTGCAGACAGTTGAGCTTTAGACGCGTCAGTTTTTGTAAATCCTGCTTACTGGCGTTTGTTTGATGAAGAACGTGATTTTTCGTCCACCACAGGTAATCCATTACCATAGAATACATGATGCGTTGCCGAAGCCTGTTGAATGATTTGATACGCTACAGAGTGTATTCAATACTATTGCTAACGTTAATACCAGTTAATTGTATCTTTCCCACAGTGACAAACACAACATAATTTCATATATCTTCCACTGCCATCACAGCGGTTCTTGCCATTGCTTGCATTAGAGCCTTTACAATCCTCCTTCATAGTCAACATATTTTTTAGACAGCATTGATAAAACAGAAACATTGCTTTATTTAAGTGCTACTTGTAAGTAAATTGTATTTAGTTATAACATAAAATTATTCTTAACAATATTTATTTACTATATGTATTTTTCAGCGACGTACAAAAGAAGACACATGGAAAGAGGCAGATTTGAAAAAATCTATCAAGGTAATAGAAAGGACACCCTTCCAGTATATAACAGTTGAAGACACGAAAAGTGTTATGAATGTTTTTATTGAGTATAGAGAAATTCAACTCTCAGTGGTCAAGAGCACATCAGATAAGAGTGTGTGTATACATGTTTAAATTGTGGAAATATGTTTACTTAACAAAGATAGTGCTCTATAACATATATATATTTTTGATGTCAAATCTTTTTATTTTATGTGTCCGGAAAAAATGCAGTGACAGCCTTAAAAGGGCTTATTTAAAATATTAGAATGTAATGTGCTTATTATAATTAATTTAGGATGCTCACAAAGATTCTGAGAGAAGATCAAAAGATGATCGAGACAAAAGAAGAGATAGGGATAAAGATCGAGACAGGGACAGAGATAAAGAAAGAGACAGGGAAAGGGAAAAGGACAGAGATAGGGATAGAAAAGACAGACACAGAGAAAATGGAGATTCAGGCAGTAGAGACCGTAGGAAAGATGACAGAGACAGGAAAGATAGAGATAGAAAGAAAGAAGAGGTCAGGGTTGAGTACATACATGAAGTAAAAAATGTTATTGCATTGCATTGTCTTTTTTTTTTTTTTTGCATAACTATTCATTATCATTATAAGAATTCATACATCTGTAGAATCATCGGTTTAGAACTATCCACTATCTAAGTAGAATTTTCTCATGTAAATTTGCTTTTCTATACACTCTTTGTCTCTCTATGTTTGACTTGTCTTGACTCTCACTTCCTTCTATCTTTTCTGTAAACTTCTCACAGTCTAGAACAAAAGCCAGCAGTAGAGTAGCTGGTGCTCTTACTGTAGCTCACTCAAGTAGAGGTAGAAAACCTTCCCCTTTCAAGAAAACTTCTCTTCAGACAAAAAAGGTTGTATCAGTAAGTGTAATCCATGAGGATTATTTTTTTTTTGCAAAATTTTAGTTATTTTTTCTCTCTTTTTTTTTTCATAAGAGGAAATTGTTCTAAAAAAAATTCCACTCGCTTTTTTCTGTAAGTTATCTGTTAAGTGACTGATGAGCTGCTTGTCAGTATTTTATTGATTACAGTGTGTTCACTGTAACATTGGACAAGTTTTAGTTACAAACTTAATCTGTGTCATTATTATTGCAGGAAAGCAAGAGACGCGATGACAAAGACAGAGACAAAAACAGAGACAGAGATCATGAAAGCAGTAGCCGTCACCGCGATGACCGACGTTCTAAGGATGATGACCGCCACAGGAGCAGCAGGGACAAAGACAACCGAGACAAAGAGGATCGAAAAAGAAAAGACGATGATCATCGGCGTGACGACAAGCGTGGCGGCAAGGATGAGGTAAATGGTGATAGAGAAAAGAGAAGCGGTCACCACAGGGAACGGGATGATAGTGATAGGAAACACAGGGATCAGGACAGGGAGAGAAAACATAGGGAAGAGGGGGAGAAACATGAGAGAGAGCATAAACGTCATGGGGAGGGGGAGAGATCTAGGGAGAGAGACCGAGAGAGAGACAGGGAGAGAGATAGTAGACACAGATCACAGGAGAATAGAAAGGTAAGTAGTATTGTTTATTGGCGTCTGAACTTTTGGATGACCTACATGGCTTGTATACACTGTAAGATGATTTTGGTAACTTTAAATTTGATTTGAAAAATATCATAATTATATCAAAATTTGATATAAAAGAGAAAAATGAGATATGGGATACCATAAGATTCTAGTACTTAAAAAGATATGACGTAAAACACAATTTGGAAAATGCAGTTTGCTGGGAATGGACATTGAAAATTAAGTAAAAGGCAAAGTAGTTTTCATTTATGTAAAAATGCCCTAAATGAAGATATTAATTAATCATTGTGGCAAAAGCAATAACCAGAATTGTGAGATGTTTCCTGAAGAAAAACATGCAAATTGTCAAAAATCACATTCAAAAGTTCAGATTATTAAATATTTTTTTCATTTTCACTTAATTTTTTTCCTTTTGCTCTGCATGTTATTTATCTTTAGTGCTCCTTGTTTTTATGTTAGATATTCAACCTAAATGTTCTGTAGACTTCATGTACAGTACTTTAAACACTTATGCTTATTATAAAAAATCTATATTTATTATAATTTATAGGTATCACTTATTTTAAAATTTCTTATATGATATTTATCAGTATGCATGTGCCGTATGAATAAGCATTTTTATCTTTTTTCCATTCTTTTCTCATGTTACTGCATTTCTAACTTTTCATTTATGACTGCTTTGGTTATTTCTGTGTGAATGTTAAGGAGGACAGTAGAGATGACCGACACAGGAAATCAAGAGATCATGACTCCAAGGTAAGACTTTCACAATGGGCAATACTGACCAGACCTTAACTGGTAATAGTCTAGTTTACATCACCAGACAACTTGATCATACCCGAAATTCAGGTCAGATGCACTTTCTTTATTTTCATTTTCATTCATCCAGCTTTTGTGTTTTTGCAAAAAGTCAAGTGATGTAGTTAATAGGCCCGTCTACACTTGAATGCCAATATTGGACTTGTTTTGCAAAAGTAACAAACTAACTGTAACAGTACTGTTATAATATTCAAATAATGTGTAAGGGAGACAGTGGAAATATTTTAGTGGACCAACAATGATTTGTCCCTGATCAAAGTATGCTTAGTCTTACAGTTAATGTCAACTTTGGACTCCATTTTTTATTTTTTTACTTATTGTTGTATAATATTTGTTTTCTTTTGGGGATTGGAGGTGGGCTGGTATGGGATAATCTGAATGATTTACTAATAGTAGTAAGTAATTGTAGTAATCCCACATATCATATAACATTATGTAAAGTGAAAATTTTGGAATGGGTTAAATGTATAAGGTTGTGATGATATTTAACTTTTGTAGTTGTTTACTTTCATATTATAGTTCTAATATACAACTTTTTAATAGGAAAGGAGGAAAGAGGATGACAAAAGGAAAGAAGACAGAAGGAGAGATGATGACAGAAGAGAGAGGAGAAAAGATGATGACAGGTTCTTGAGCTTTATATTATTATATTATATTATAATTTCATTTTAAAAGTTAAGCATGCAGAGTTTCTTGCAGTATGAAGAATTATGATAAGTATTTAAATATACAACATCTTTCCTCTTTATACGTCAAAGACGGGATTAGATTCATTTAGATTCATTTACTGTACATATCAGTTTTGTGCTGACAAGTGATTGGATGTTGGTCACTTGAAGATTAGTGGAATCAGAGCTTTTGTCATGTTTTGATCTTGTTAATATCAGTATAATTGTATTTCTGCTAATGTGTTTTCACAGAACAGTATGCCATCATGTTTTGTACTCAAACCTTTTTTAGAAGAGATAGAGACAGAGAGAAGGACAGAGAAAGAGAAAAGGAGAGAGAGAGAGAAAAAGACAAAAATCGAGAAAAAGACAGAGATAGAGAAAAAAGAGACAGAGACAGGGATAAAGATAGAGACAGAGAAAGGGATAGAGATAGGGATAGAGATAAAGACAGAAGAGAGAGAGATAAAGACAGAGACAGAAGAGAGAGGGATAAAGAAAGGGATAGAACCAAAGACAAGGAGAGAGATAGAGACGGGGAGAAGGATAGAGATAAAGAAAGAGATAGGGAGAGGGATAGAGGCAAGGAGAGGGATAGAGACAGGGAAAGAGATAGAGATAGAGACAGAAGCTCCAGAGATGAGGACAAAGGCAGAGAAAGAAACAAAGACAGGAGTTCCAGAGATGACAAGGTTGGTAATTAAAAGATGAATTCACTTAGAAAATTTGTTATATACAGATTTCTGTTTAAAGCAGGACTCACTTGCATAGTGACATTGTTTTAAATTTTGCTTTAGTCAGTTCTGTTTTGTTTGTTATTGGCTATTTGCTCGAAAATGACTGCATAAACTACATTTGAAATGAATGTGTTCAATTTCCAGTTGATTCTGATAAGGGCAGTTTTCCAAAAGTTCCAAAAAGATATAATTCATGTAATAGTACGTTTTGTAATCTCTGCTAAGAAAGTAGAGCAGTATTGTCAATTTCGAATTTTTGCAATAAAACACATTTACCATGTCTTCTTTGCAGCGAGAGGAGAAGTCATCTAGTTTTAAGGCAAGCAAAGAGGAAGAGTCTGTAAGTATATTTCAGACCACTCAGAATGCCTGTTTCCATATATGTTTTCACAGATGCTTTTAGCAGCATGGATATAATTTCTTTTTTGGCATTTTGTTATAAGTTAAACAGAAGTGGTATACAAATATATTGATCAGTTTGTTACAAAATTAACCAATTCCCTGTTGCATTCATTTTTCATTGTCCGTGTGTTTGAGAAGTTTTGATTTGGATTTTTATCTGTAATCATTTTCGTTTAGTTGATTTGCATGTTGCTTCAAGCTTTATTGAATGAAACACATTACTATGCATTTTATCTTTGCTAAATGAATAATTTACCAAGACTATTTGAAATAATGATAAATAGATTTATTTAGTCATATTTATCTGTGAGAGTTTGACAGATGATTTGAAAGAAAAAGTGAGCGAAGAGAGGAAAAAAAAGACAAACCGTTCACAGCTTTAGTTCAATCAGCTAGTTGCTTATTTGCAGCTTTTTCTTAGTTTTTTGTTAAAATTTTGGATGAAGAACATATCGTTTGCAAACATTGTTTTAAATTCATCTTACTGCAATGCATGCATGTTTTTTTCTTTTAATTTGTCACATTATTTATGCACACGTTAGCAGAGCACAGTGATCGAGGAAGTTTCGGAAAAGTCAGAGCTGAAAGAGGAGAAGGAAGTAAAATGGGGTGGTGCAGATGATGCGGGTGCTGACGAGGAAGAGCAGGGTTACGATGATTATGATGATGACTTTGAGGTACAAACAACAAGCTGCTTGTACTGTAGACACAGTGTTTGTTGAATATATTGGCTTGTTTTATTTTACTTTAATATTGAATATTTTGTTGTTTATTATACAGAATATTGATTTTTGTGTTGAATTGAATGTCAGTGAAAAAAAAAAAATAGATGGCATGATACCTGTAATTAAAGGATAGAAATGCATGTAGGTGGACATGCTGTGAAATTTATTATGTGACAGTAAATAAAAACAGGTGTATTGTGCAACATCAAAACTATCTGAAATATTTATGGCTCCACAGATATTAACTTAAAGATACTAGTACACATATGATGATTTTATATAATGGATATGACTGTTTCTCGTAGGATTATGATGATGACTTTGAAGATGAAGAAGAAGATTCTGCAGATGCTAGAGCTGTAAGTATCTAATGTGACATGCACGGAGCTACTGGTCATTAATTTAGTTTTGAAAACTGTTTCAGACAATTGTATTGATCCATATTTCCAGTCAGTAAATTACACTTTTTATTGGATATGAGAAGCAGATTTTATGAAGAATTATTTTAAGTTTGCAGACAGTTGTCAGTCAACAATTTGTATCTGTGACACGAGCAGCCTAATATTACTAGTATTTAATAAAATAATCTTTAGTAAGGCTTGCATGTGCAACACTCAAGTATGCTAGCCAAATGAAAATGCCAACCACAAATTCTTAGGCAAAAATCAGTTACTTATAACAGTTTGTAAAGGCAATGTTATTTCCCTAATTTAAGTTATGACTTAGACTGGACTTTTCATAAAATTGGGTCAGCAGATTTGACAAATTTGTGCAAAGATGAGATGGAGTGGCTTCACCAGTTCTTTCATAGAGAGAACATTGTTCCACTATAACAGCAGGGAGGGGGGCACTTGAGTTTTTAGACCCCCTCCCCCCAGATATACCATATACCCCTTTAAGAAAAGCATTCCTATAGAAAGCCTGATAATATAATTGTAATATTACATAAAGAGTGACCTTTGGATGCCCCCACCCTTATATAATCAACATACCAGTATTAAAGACCCCTGATTTTGAACATTTTTTCCTCTTAAAGGTTCCACTGAAGGGCCTTTCCCCCCGGTTACAGCAAGTGGCTCACTGGAACGCTGACAATGCTGTAACTATACTTCACCTGTTTAGATGTTTTAGCCATTAGATACATAGATAACATACACTACTATAGCTACATAGAGTGGCACAGCCCCTAATTATGCACTAATGTAGAGGAAGTTATGTACTACTTGCTATATGATATAGATTGTCTGTTGTAGAAGCTGACTTATGCTTTATTTATATGCTTTTGGTATGCTAATGCCAGGGCATGGAAAGGGCTTTGAATGCGTTCTAGACATATGAACTTTCCTGATATGAGTGTGTAACTTTTCTTTATAAAAACAATTGATTTAAAAAAGGGAAGAAAGAGACACATTTTGAAGATCTCCCCATTTGTGACCTTGAAGTAGTTTCACACCCTTAATTAATTTCTACTTGTCTTTTTGGGCTGTGTGATTTAACCAATTGTATTACATTTTCATAATATTGATTTACAATTCAGGTCCTAACTAACCTTGCATATATAGCTTATAATAAGTAGAAAAATGCTTTTATGGAAGCATTGTGCTGTTACTATTATCTTTCTTATAATTTTAAACTTTTAATAAAAGATTTGCCTGCTTTGCCTAAAAATATTATTCTTTGAACAGTCAATCTTACGTGACTGTTATATAATTGCTTAAATATGTTATAGTTGATTATTCTATTTTTTATTATTGGTTATTTGATAAGCCAATTGTAATTAAGTAAAGTTAATCTTTGTTTTTTACAGTAGAAAAGTTTTATTTATTTATTTATTTATTTATTTATTTATTTATTTATTTATTTATTTATTTATTTATTTATTTATTTATTTATTTATGTACTTTCATATTGCTGCAGCTGTTACAGTTGTACAATCTTAAGCACAGTCCATTTGTAAAAAGGAGTTACTGAAAGCATAACGTCCACATATTCTTATAATTGCTATAATTCCCCATAATTTTTAACCTTTCATTTCAGACAAGAGAGGAAATGGATGAGGTATTAAAGGCAATGAATGAGGAGAATGCCAGGCTATTGAATGAGTCACGTAGGAGTGACTGGTCCAGTACAGTAAGAATTTTTATAATGTTTTCTATCTATGATTCACACATAAATAATTTGCCCAATCTGATAACTCTTCAAAATTTTTTTACTCTTCCTGTAACAGAGACCTGGATACAGAGGTTGGCAGTGCTCAAATTTTATTATGTTACACAGTATGACTATATTTGTGATACAGTTTATGATTAATATATAATTCATTGAGAAGTGATTTTTTTTCAGGTGCGCGTTATCTTGGTTATAACATACATGCACACACACTCACACACACACACACACACACACACACACACACACGATAGTGCAGAATCACTGATGAATAAAATATAACATTTACCATGTTCAACTTAGTAGTTTGTTAAATGAACCGCCATCATGATAAAAGCTCAAACACTATATGATCACTATCAGAAATATGAAATGTCCTAATTTCAGCCTGACTCAGACGAGAACACAGACAGCCGGAGAGCAGATCAACCAGTCAAGAGACCAGTTACAAGTAGAAGTCGGGGATTCATCAACTTTGTTTCTGCCAAACAACGCCAGATCTCAGACAAGGCTGCGTCAAAGGCACGACGGCGTGGCCAAGAGTTGCTGCAGCTTATTGAGCTGGATGTGGCAAATTTTAGTCTGTTTGACCTCCCTCCAGTGAAAGAGTATGAACTGTACATGAGGAATTTTGGGAGCATGAATACTAAACAGGTACCAGTGTGAAACTTGTGTCTTTTGTGTGGGTTAAAAACAGTTATAAGTCTGTAGATTTATTACAGTCACATTTTTGTATCATTTCAACTGATTCTTCTTCCTTCAAGTGGTTTTGTTTTTTAATTATTTCTGAATTCAGTCTTGACGATACATACTTGATTTTTTTATTTTTATGGTTTTCATAGAAGAGCACATTGCTTTCAAAATCAACTTATTATGCTTCCCCCCCCCTTTTTTTAAATTAAAGCCCCATAGAATGAAGATTCATTAAATTTATTTGTTTAATAGTATTTAATTAATTTATCATTTCTAGTGTTTTAAAGTATTATTTATCATTTTGTCCAGGCCTACATACAGACCAATGAAGACAATATAGATCGTGACATTCAGACAGAAGAGATTGAAACCAAAGAAAAATGGTGCCAGCACCCACCAGAAGACCTAAAGGGATCAGGAGGTTTCACATTAACTCATTTCTCATTTATAAAAGAATAGACAATTTAAAGAAAAATAGCTCAGTTGGAAATAATTATGAAACGAACTTTAAAACAAACTTTTTTTACCTAAAATTTATTTGAAACAAGGACAATAGTTATAATATCATCAAATAATAAATTCTTAGAAGGGTTTTTAGAATATATATTTGAAAGAACTTATAAAATTAAAAGGGCGAACGCTTTACCTGCTGGTGCCCCAGTAATAAGGTTTCAATTATAATTGCATTACAGAACTCTCAGACAATTCAGTACTGTGAATTTTTTTTTCATAACTGTTTCTTTAACTATGACCCTTGTGTTATCCAGGTGATGATGAAGAAACTGAGAAAAGTGTGGATTCCAGTGGGAAAGTGGACTCTGTCAGGCTGACTAAGTTCTTGCAGCAGTCATTACAAGTGAGTAATATTAATTGATAGATTTATTTTATTTTTTTTAAAGATATGAACATATAAATGGTAAGTCAGTGTGCTTACATCCTCATGCATTGCTGGTCCTTTTTTAGGCTCAAGTGAAGCTTACTCTCTAAAACACTTACTCTGTGAGCATCCAGTAATTTTTTGCCACATCTATCCAAAAAGACGAATATTATATGCTGTTCTAGCTTGCAAAAACTTTTCAGAATAACAGCCAGTATTTAAATTCATATTACTACATGTACATTATTTTTGTTGCCATGAATTTTGTAAGAGTAACAGCTAATGTGTATTCTACGTTATACACTATGACTGTTGCAAAAAACTCTTTTCAGAATAACAGTCAGGTGCGGATCCAGAGATATTTTCTGACAGTCTTCCAAATTATCTTTCTAGATCCATTCTCCATTTTTTACCATCTTCTGACAGAGAAAATTAGATACTCATCCATGTAAATCTGACTGTGTTCTGGAAGACTCAGAAGACAGTCTAAATCCGCCCCTGTATAACCTATACTGTTTCCTATTCCAGGTGGTGGCAATCTTATTAGAAGAGGACCAGGCAGAGAGGAACCAGGCCGAGGTGTTGGCCAGTAGAAGTAACACGTCCTTCAGTGAAAGCACCATATCTCTGACACAGCCATCATTCTTAGCAGGTACTTGTCACTTACCAAATATAGGTCTTATAAACAGATTTGGCATTATTTTTAATAAGGGCACTGCATGTTAGTAACTTCTAAATCCCAATAGAAAAATAGAACTAAGTTCTTAACTATTAATATGCAGATATGTTTTTTAAAATTGATAAATAAATGGTTATAGTTTCAGTGGTTCAGATAGTGTCAATGTTGAGAATGATCAGAAGCAAATGTTTTATTGACTTTCCTCTTTAACTTTACAATTATATTTTTATTGTAGACCGTCCAGTGTTACAATGCCATTTCTCACCTGTCCAGAACAACTTACTGTTAGCTGTTCATGGACCTCCATCAGGGGTGAGTACGAGATGTGATCTACTGTGTTGCATCTTTGGTTGACTTAGAATATAGAACAATTTTGAATTTTGAGTGCATGAATGCTTGCATGTGATGGCTGCATACAGGTGAATTATAGTGTTATCATTTAGAATGATATACTAGTTATTTTGATGAACTCTCTCTCTCTCTCTCTCTCTCTCTCTCTCATATGTAACCTCTGCTGTTTCTTACAATCTTCTAGATCAGATACAAATACAGAAGAGTGAGAAGGGTAAACATTTGGTCCATTAAGTTCCAGTTAAACTGATAAATTATTTGACACCTAAATTTTTAAATTGTTATTCTTTTATTGGACTTAGAAAAATTAACTTGAAATGTGTTGTAATACATTTAAGTCCAGTAAAGTATTGATAAAAACTTAAGTAAGATATTTATTGTTGGCCTGTTACAACTACTGAAAAGAACATTAAGATCTGAAAACTAGGCCTATCCTAAAGTGCATGAAGACACCATTTTTGAGTTATAGTCCATCTGTTGAAGAATTTTTAACTAATGTGTTTGAACAAACTCGAAACTATTTGAGAATGTCTACTAATAATTTTTTTTTCTGGTTACTTCTTTTGATTTTATTTCTGTACTAATTTGTTATTTTATTGACTCTATCGCTTTACCTGATATCATATTGTGCAGTTTGATTAATACTGGGTCTGAATGACATGTCTTGGTGAAATATGGGGAAAAATTCATTGTTTTTCGACGTCTTTTAAAAGATTTTTAAAGATTATATTATAATATAAACACTTTCAGAATACTTCTCACTCTAGCATACCTACACATGTGTACTACCTACAGCATCTGAATTACTACTGAAAAATACAAGCTGCATCTAGAGGGATATTTCCTCATTTTCTCATCTTTTCAAATTCCAAATGTACCTAAAATCAAATTGTATACTAATTTTATAATTATTATTAATTTAAGTAAATAATTAATTTTGGAAATGTTGCTTGTATTTGATAGGGCTCCTGTATGGAGTTAGCTAACAAGGGAATGATCTCTTTATGGAATACAAATGAACCGTCCAGGCCTAAACAGTAAGTATAATGGTTATTACTGACTAAATTAAAAAAATGATAAAAATTTAATGTGTTCTTGAAAAAATGTTAGGACCTTGATGCTGTAGATGTTGTATTGAATCTAAGAAATACCAATTAAAATGTGATTTTTCTTTATTTCTGAAATAAGTAACCTAATGGTTAACATTTTTTGTACTCATGACTATTATTTTTATTTTAATAATTATTATATTTTTTATGTATTGTGTAGGATTGTCTGGTAATATGAAAGTGATGAATTTTGTCTATTTTTTTTACAATCCAGTATTCCCTGTATATGGTATGATACATTTTCAGAATTCTCACCTGTGAGTCTCAGCCTACTTGTTGCTGTTTTAGTCCAGAAAAAGCCACCTTGGCATTTGCAGGCATGGTGAGTTTGGTGCCCCTCCCCCTCCAACTTTTTCATCTCATTAACATATTCCAAGCTTGATTTAAATTATACAAGCCCCTGCATAAATTGTTCTCCCCCGCCAAATCTTCAACTTCATCCCTTCTTCACCTTATTCTTATGCTGACTTGCTCCAAAGTGTCACTGTTTGAAAATATCCAGACAACAGTCTCTGCATGAATTACACCCCACGCCCCCACCTCTAACTTATTCTTTTCATTCCTATGTAGATATATTTCCACCCTTGATTGGAATTATCCAAACACCTGTCTCTGCACGAGTCTTTTTGCCTCCCCCCTTCCCCCATCAGGTTTTTCACATCATTAAAACCAACAGAGTCTGTTGTATTGGGTCATGTCCAGAACTTATCTCTGATTGATAACTTATCATTTGAAAGAGACTTCAGCTTCAGGTTATACAATGATTGTTAATTTGGTTTTAAATGAGGTGAAAAAACATATTTGAATCTTGCCTGGTATTTACAATCTCCTCATAAATTGACCCCCCTCCATTCCCCCCTAGTTTCTTCACCTCATTCCTATATGGCCATGTTTCAGACTGATGGTTCTCTGGTGGTATGGGACCTGAGGGAGCCAGCCTCCATGCATCATGTGTACAGAACAAGGGAGGAGGAGTGGCTGCTCAGGAAGCCAACATATTTTACAGGTATAGAATTAAACAGACGGATATTATTATGAGATGTTATTCACCAAGCTGAGACAGATAATTAACTGAGAATTTGAATTGGACTTATATCAAAACTGGATTTTGTATAGTTATTAATGTAATGAAATTTTTGCAATAACTGTAGTTTTAGGTTAATTTCTCATTATTTACATTTTTTCTTTGGACAATTTCATTTAGATTTGGACTAGTAGTTTTTTAAGTGATGTAGGGTCTGCAAATATAAAGGTACTGGCAGGAACATGTTTCATAGTTCCTATTCTATTTCTTGGTTGTATTTTGTTTTCAGCTGGAATTCTTGGTGAAGAAAATCACCACAGTCCTGTGACAACTGTGATACCTATAGTGTCTGCAGCTGATAGGTAAATAGTGGGGAAAAAATTGTAAAACAGTAAAACTGAACCTTTTACCTACATACTTTTTCTTGCCATGGGTGAACTAGTTTGAAGAGACTGATGGATTTTTGTGAATACTGCCCAAAACATATGAGATAAAGATATTTCAAATTGGTTATTTATTATTAATTAAAGTCTTAAATTAAGCCTTCCTCTGGCACGAGTTGAAAAAAGAAATGCATTTGCTGTTGATATTTGCAGTGATTTTTTTCTTGCTATTTTTCAGTGCCAAAGCATCTGTGATGAGTGCAAAGGAAACAGATTTCGGGACAGGCCTGTCATTTCAGCTTGCCTCTGCTGAGGAGAATGCCTGGGTGCATTTATGGGTATGGACTCACAGACTTGTGATGAACTGACAGCCTAAGACATTGACTGCCTAAAATATACTTATGATTATTGAAGAAATGGAGCTAGAGGTTAAGGATTTAGGAATGTAACCGATGAATTAAAAAACAAAACAAATAGCATGATCCCTGGTTTTTTCCACAAAAGTCTGGGGAAAACTTAACCGTATCAGTTATTTTGTTCTCTTTAGTATAAAACACATGAAGTATGATATGTATTTCTTATATATAAATATATATGTATATTCCAGGTGGTTGCAGAGATCAGTAATCCTGACGAGGCTGGCTCAGAGTCAGATCTGGGACTGGCCCCTGGGGGCAGAGTTAAACTGTTGAAAAGTTCATCTTGCAAGTTGGAAAACCCTACAAGGTAGGCACCGGGCTTTGATTTGACAATGATGATGGTGATATATAATTAACTTCAATCATTGCAAATTACACATCCACTTTATTTATTTATTTATTTATTTATTTATTTTGTTTTTTTATTTGTTTGGTTTTTTGTTGTGCATATGTTTCTTTTAAAATTATCATTTTTCCAGTCAAATGATCTTTCACCTAAGCAATCAGATAAGATGTCTCAGATAAATTAATTTATCATTTTTCTTTTATTATTTATTATTATTAATTAATTAATTAATTGGATGCCAATTTTCTTTTCCAGAGATGTCAGGCTGAAGTCTAGTCTCCGTGCTCATGAACTGGCCCTCTCCCCAGCCAACCCGAGCAACTTCTATGTTGGAACTGACTCAGTAAGTTGTGGTTTGAGTTTATTTCAGATAAGAACTGCTTTAGACCAAAAATTTACCCAAAATCAGACCACCAGAGATTAAATGATTGATAAAGGATGGAGTGGATTTCATCCTTGTGAAAAAATTTCAAAGGTCCTTGTGTTTATATAATTATACATTGTGTGTGTGTGGTACTTTGATTATGCGTACACGATTAAAGTGGTTTTGCATTTAATTGTATGCTGATTTTTTTAAAAAGCACAATTTTTAGTTTTAAATAAGAGTTTTCCCCTCTAAGTAAGTCTTAAATATGTGTGTACGCATGAATCCATATTTTAGGCATTTTTATTTATCTTACATACACATCACCTTCACCTGAATCCTTTTTTTGTTTTTATTTCCTTTTTAAAGGATTAATATCATACGTATATTATCTTTTTTCCAGGGTTATGTGTATCATGGGGTGAGATCTGGTGGCAAAGCTGTGCCCAGAACATATAAGGGAGAAGTAGGTAAGGGCATGGTTGCTGGAAAGCATAAGCATACCATTGTTTGATATTATTATTATTATGCAAGTTTTGCCTTATAAGTCAAGTTTACTACCCACATCTATGTCATCAGGTAGCCCATTTCAGCATCTACAGACTGATACTTTTTACCTGTTACTGTTGTATGAAGCAAGCGAAAACTGTCCCCCCCCCCCCCCCCCTTTTAAGTTGTATAAAACTAGCATTTAGGAGTTGACTTTCCAACACAAATTGTTGGTACCCATCTCTACACCAGGATGAAGAGGAGGCAATGGGTATAAAGTGATTACCCAATGACACATCTAAAGACTTTGTACTCTTTACCTCCATGCCATGAATCTCCTGACTCTATGTGTCCTGCACTCTAACTACCATGTAGACTTCTCTCATTTTTAGTAATTCTTCCTTTCTATAGCTTTTTGATACTAACTATGCATTCTGTTATGTTCCAGATGCTCCTGTTCCAGTGACATGTTTAGACTTTCCTCCATTCAGTCACCAGTGTTTTCTGGTAAGACTCAGAACAGTGTATTGGTTCAGTCACTGTGTTAGACTTTTCTTTGCATAGCTCATTTTGGTTGAAAGAGGTAGAAAAAGAAAGCTCTTAAGTAATAGTTTGTGAAAAAGACATAGTTTTTTCTAATTTAGATTCATGTCCCCAGTACATCATTCTACTCTTTGAATGAAAAAGTGGATGAATACAAATATATTCATTGTCTCAGTGAAGAAACTCGATTGAAGTAGGAAATAAGTTAACATAGTACATGAGTATTTTCTAACTGCACATTATGTTCTTTTGGTTGTATGGGTTTTAATTAAAAAAAAAAAACTAATTTGACATGAGAAAAAAATTCAATCTTCAGGCTGGATGTGCAGACGGCAGCATTAGACTTCACAACCTCCATTTGGAGACACCTTTGGTCACATGGTTAAATTCGACCAATGGGAATGCAGTTCAGGTGATACGGTGGTCAAGGAGTCGTCCTAGTGTGTTCTATGTCCTTGATGCAGCAGCCAAACTTCACGTCTGGGATCTACTGAAGGATGATGCTGCACCTGTGAATACAGAGACCTTTAGTCAGGATAGGTCAGAGTCCTAAAAAGCCATTTTTTAATCTGTGAAATTGTAACAGTTTGTTGTGTCATGTCTACAACTTTTCTCTGATTAATAGCTTATCGTAAAAGGACTTCAGCTTTAGGTTGTACAATGTTTGTTATCACAATTGTATCCTCAGGAAATGAGCTCAAAGAACATATTTGAATCTTGTGTCTTGTGAATAATAGTTCCTATATGTTTAGCAATTTGTATTTTCTAATTGTTTTTCAGTTTGTGTACGTTTTCGCTGTCTAGTGACCACAGTGCAACAGGAATGGGACTCCCAAACAGAAAAGCTCAGATGGTCAGTACGCCAGCACTGATGTTATTATCATTATTATACAAGTCAGCTATATACAATAACAGTTTGCAATAATACCAATTTTAATTGCTATTATTGAAAACTGTTATTGTAGTTAAAATATGTAGTTAAAACTATATATTAAGATTTTTATTCATGTTTGGGAAAATTGATTTTTCTATTTATCTAATACTTCAAAGCATGCAATAACTGTTATCATAAAAAAAGTATTAGACATCTGAAATGTCTCTGTTCAATGTATCAGTTGCTGATATGTCTCAGTTGCTGATATGTCTCAGCTGCAAATGACCATTGTTGCATGTTGACATTTGGTTTGTGGCCAATGGTTTGTTTTTGTCAAAAGCAACCTTAAACTTAGAAATATTTGTTATAATTTTTATTTGCTTAATACTGATATACAGTCCAGTCAATTTACCACTTGAGTATAATCAAGTATGATTTATCAAATTATATTAACCATATTAACAGTATTTATATTATTTGGTGTAGGTGGTGAGTTTCAAGAGAGGAGGGATGGATGTTCACACTCTAAGTCAGCACTTAGTAACACAGCAAGTAGGAGAGCTGGAGGAGTTCCTGAAATATGTGGATAAAGTACTTTAGATTGACTCTAGAAATGTTGTATTTATTTATTTTATTTTATTTTATTTTAATGTTTATGCTCTTTTTATGTTCATGACCCATTTTTTAAAAGAATATACAGCAAATGGCTCATAGAATCTGATGACAACTTCCGTCCAGATGGGATTTTAAAAAAAATTTCTTTACATTTTCATTTAAGTTACAAAATGGGTCTAGAATGGTTGCTGGTGGTAGGAATAAGCTTTTGCAATTTTTGGTTCAGGAATATATAGACAGGCAAACTGTTACATAAAGAATGGGAACTGTCAACAAAGTATGGTGTTGTAGCATGCATCTATACTCAACATTGTAGATGTTATAGTAACTATAAAGTAATTTTTGTTATTTATGGTTCCCCATTTGAAATTATATTAAGGTGTTTGAAACTTATTATTTGTCTGTGATAATTTAAGCACTCATATTATAGAGATGGAAGTGTAAGGCAAACTTTTTATTGAGGAATAAAGTTAACATGACTGAAGAAAAATTTAGTTCATGAGATGTGCTTAATATAGCCCCCATATTGTGTTTACCCAAACAAGACTACTGATCAGTTGCATTGAGTATTGTGATTAAATTCTGAATGAATAATCAATCATAATACTAACCATTCTTCTTGTTTTACTAAAATTGTTGTTAATAAGGGAATTCCTCTAGTGCAGGGAAATTCTTCATGTTCACTGTCATGAATAGTCATGCTGGAGGACTCCTGGATTTTCCTGTCATGAATAGTCATGCTGGAGGACTCCTGGATTTTCCTGTCATGAATAGTCATGCTGGAGGACTCCTGGATTTTCCTGTCATGAATAGTCATGTTGGGGGACTCCTGGATTTCTCTGTCATCAATAGTCATGTTGGGGGATTTCTTGAGTTCCCTATCCTCCACTGGGGTCACTGGTTGATTTTTCACTAGATATTCACATGTATTTCTCTTGCTAATTCATGACACAATTCTCCTCTGTAATTCTCTTGTGCAAAAAATGTACAAGATAAATCAGTGGCCCTGGGAGAGGGTTGGATTTCTTTGTCATGAATAAAAAAATAGGGTAATTCTTTAAATTCCCTTCCAGCAGAATTGGAAAGGAACTCTGAGGTTTGTTTTCATTTATATCTGATTCCATTTTTTGTAGCTTTGAAATTGAAAAAAAAAAACTTATTGTAAAACATCTAATGTGGAATTTTATGTTTAATGTGTTCTTTATTCAGCATTATCACGGGATAAGTTTGAAGACAGAAAGTACTGTGAATTTGCAATAGTTTCTTATAACAAAAGTTTCTGTTGTGCATATTTTTTAAATGCCACATTAAGTTGGAAATACTACCACAGGATTGGTTGGTGTTGATGTTATATCTGTTGTATATATTAATATATAATTATAAAGTATAAATGAAATGTGTATATAAGAATAAGATCAACTTGTTAACTTGAACTGATCAGTCAGTCAATGTTTAAAGTGTTCATCCTAATGGACAATCTAATTATGGTACATGTATGACATTCCAAGAAGGGGAAGATACTGTGGAAAGTATCAGTTTTTCATTGTTTGAATAAATCGATATGATAAACAATTCAGACTTGTTTTCTTAAAAAAAGAAAAAAAAAATGCCAACATTAACGATAAATATTTGGTTTATATATGGCCCTAGCTAGCACTTTCTAATCAGTATATGATCACTGGATATGAAATAAATTAAATATTTCAATATTACATACAAACGTTGCACATGTAGGCACAATTTGCATTATTATAATCAACCACAATTCACTTTTTGTGAAAAATGCAAATTACAAAAACATATTTTGAGAGAGGAGTATACTGGTATTATTTGCAAAAATTTAACATGATTTAAATATTTCATTGACTCCAATTAAATGTGTCTGTTATGTATTTAATAAAGAAAAAATGGATGTTTGTGGCTAACAATTCAAACTGCCGGTTCAACTACGAGCCACCCCCTCCCCCGCCAGCTTCCTGACTCTTTGTTCAACTTTTAACCTCGTCTTCCAACATTTCAGCATTTTTGACATGCCTAAGCTGACACATTTTTCTTCAAATAATTAAGAGCAAGTAGAAATGCAGTAATAAATTTGAATTTTGTGTACTTAAAAAGGAATAAGCTACGGAAAAAATTAATACACCCCAAGAAAGTTTACAGGCTATATCACCCTATCAAAAATGTGTTAGTTGCGATCTAGTTGTAAAACTAAATGCATGCGTCTTCAACTAGGTCAATCTTGAACTCTGTATCCGGTACCTCAGTCACGCTTCACCGAGCTTGAAGAGGGAGGGATTCCCTTGTAAGACTTGTAGATCGCAACAGATTCGAAATCGTGAGTTATGAATACCTATTATTTCCGATTTAAGTGTAAACTTAAGTCATTTTTGGCGCATTATATTGTACGCCAGTGTAGTGCTCCCATAACCATATATTTCTGACAGTGTAAATAGATAATCTATTCTGATATTTAAAAAATTATAATCTAGTACTGTACAACCCAGTTTAGTAAGCAGTACATCTACATGTGACTTGTACAACAAGTTATATACTCACTAGATCACACTATCAGTGCTTGAAATACTGTAGATAGCTTCTTCCCCCTTGCCCTGTACTGTATTTGCTTTACTTTTTAGAATGTGCTTGGACTGAGGAAGATTTGAATCCAACATGGCAACGTCTGACCCTTTCCCTGATCCAGACCCTGAGACTACAGCAGAATCAGAGCCCAGGGCCATGGAAACAGAGGTAGATAATGCTGTGTTGCAGGTGACAGGTGGAAAATGCATGCAATTAAAAGAGGGTGATGTAGAAATTTCACAACAGGTATACAATAATATTACAAAACTATGTTGTTTTAATAGTAGATTTAAAGGGACAAAAAATAGGATTAAAAACGCCTTTTTAGTGCATGGATTGCTTCTTATTTAACTTATCTGAGAACAATTGCTATGGGTAAAGCATAAAATGGCAGGTAAATGGCCTTAATCAATATCGAAAAAAAGAATCATATTCACCGTCCACTTTCGAACCCCGGGCGTCAGCCATCTTGACACAGTTTGAAATAACGCGGCATCTCGACTCAGATACGAGATGTAAACAATGCAGACAGCATGTCTCACTCGACTGCGAAGGTGAGCGTGGGCGAGAAGAAGAGGAATTGTTCACAGAATCTTTGCAGGTAAGCGGGTTATAGTCACTATATGTGCTTTAAAATGGGAAGGTGGCAGGAAATAAAAATATCTAGCAGTGGAAGTTTAAAAGCGTAAATAACTGCTACATTTCCTCGGATAACGCACTCGCAGTCCCCAAACCACTCGCACTGCGTACTACGTAGTTACATGAAGCGTGGTAGTGCACTTTGACCCTGAGGTATATAGTTCTGTAAACCAGGAGGAATACCGTTTTCTGCTCAATGTGGTCATCTACCAGTACTTGCAGACGAACCTCACACCATATTCCCGCAGGGGAATCCCATGAGATATACAATGTAACTCGAGTACTA